TGGCTGAATAATAAGCCGTAACCGTTGTTAGCGTTTGTCCACTGTGTTGTCCATGTTCTAATAGACAAGTGAATACACTCACACATGTTCATGTACGTAGGTGTGCATACCTTTACGCGGCTTGTAATTGCAGGGGCTAGGAATGCGGATGCACGCATGAAGTAGCAGCCGGTAGATAGTACAGGATACGCTTTGCAATGTACCGCGAGCATTTATGTATGTCCCTATTATTGAAGAGCATGCATGGAGTATGTGCTCACGTTAATTAACGATGGAGAAACAAATGCTTGTCGCGAACTTAGTCTTAACTGTAATTATATGCAGCTTTTCACTAATACGCAATAAAGTATATGTAAGTATACATACGTACACGTATTATATATTACGCATATTATATTCTTTCACGTGGAATATTTATATGGAGTACAGTAAAATATGTGCATGAATTTCATATATCCTGAGTTCAACTACCTCAAGAAGGGTATGTGCACGTGTCCGCTATTACTGAAGACGTGTCACAATAACATTGATAAATAGATTATACAAGTCACTAATTCGTCACACGTGGTACATGAATTGCTCCCACAGAATCACATGTGCCTACGAAAGGGCCGCCCAATCTATGACAAGTGGATCTTCCTGTTTTGTAGACTGATCTATGCTCCATCATATTGGACTGGATTTTATTCAAGCTAGAAAACAATGTTTCTCATCAAACTTTCGTATTTTGTTTTCTACACTTTGATTTTGATAAGAAACTATCGACACTTAAGCTGTCTTTTAATATCATATTGTCTCTTCACTTGTAAAAAATTTATAACTTAGACATATATATCTTATATGTCAGTAATATGAGACATATAACAGCTCGATCAATATCATATTAATAAGTCCAAATATCAATTGTGTTTTAATGGTCCGTCGAATAATAAAACACGTATGCGTATCGTAAGATATATCGATATTATACAATTGTCAAACAGAACATAACTTAAAAATCATATGTAATTATTAGCTTGTGTATACGCACGCGTATGTTTTTGAAAGAACTATGTGCATCTTTGACAAATAAACTGATAATCGCCTTTTATGATAGAAGCGTGCAAAAATTGTTTTTGAGGAAAATTAGCACAACTTTTATTAAAAACTAATCAAAAATCTTCAAAAGTTTTGTATTCATGCAATATGATTTAAAAATATATTTAAAATATTTGCTAAAAATAAGTGAATTATTTATTAATATTGATTCTACAATCTTTTCGATCAATGGAATTCTCTTTCCTATTGTTAAAACATTTTCTGAATATCGTTCTTGCAACAACTAATAGATAAAACGACTGTTATAATTACATAAAAAAGAAAAACCACAAAACATGTACAAATCTGTAGAAATTCGTGAGTAGTAACTAACTCGTTCATTCAACACACATTATAAGATTAAAATAGTTTCACATCGCCGAATGAAACGAATTCAAGGAAGATAAGACACATTCTCTCCAACATAAAAATTTCTGACCTATTGAAAACAAAAATATCGGCATAGATGGAAATAAGACATAAAGAACAGATAGAATAACAAGTGTTAAATAGTTGTGAGAGAGAGAGAGAGAGAGAGAGAGAATAGAATAAAGAAATATATATTCTACAGACGTCATCAACGTTATCAATTTTATTTTGATTGAACATTAATCAAGCTAGAAACTATGATATAGTATAGAAACTATGTAATAAACTTTTTATATTCATATACCATATTTCCGATGTAATAATAATATAATAATATACATCACACGCATACGCGCATGCATGCACATATGACATATATGAGAAACTCATTTATTCAAACAAATTTCTCATCTCTTATCGTTAGTAGATTTATCTCCTTTTCCGAAGGCATTATCATTTCTTCGCCACATTATTTAAATAATCTTATACGCTTGATTTTTTAAAATATTTTTTATAGCTTAAAGTAAGTTAGAGAATCGGAAATTTGTCAATTCGTCAAACACGCTAGCGAATCAGAGACGTACAGCGATCAAAAGCGGCGCATCAAACCGATTTACGAGTCGCTCGCATAATTAACGACAGTTACATCAGTGGAAGTTAAAATCCCATGACGCGATTCGGCGGCATATGTTATGAGTATATCGTGCACGTAGCCTTCGTCAGTGCTCTCACATCACATGTACATACGCGCATGTAAAGCAGCGCGTATAACATAGATACGATAACATAATACGATAGCTATGTAGCGCAGAGTTACGCGAACCCAATAGTACGTCTGACGGCCGTCTAGACGGGGCTACATGAATGCGGCACATCGCCGCGTGTGTAATCCCGCGTACGCACGATCATACGTACTATACGTACTTACACGTGACTAACGCTCGTCGTCATCGCCGATGTAACGCCATGCATATAGCGTTGCGAAAGCAAGTTACGTGGCATGACTGCGTACTCTCGCTCTCGCGCTCGCTCTTGCATTCGTTCTCATGCTTGTGCTTACTCTCGTTCTCGTTCTCTTTCTCAAGCTCCTTCGCACTAACCGGAAGGATATTCTATCTGATGAGATATCCTCAACGTCCCAAATTGCTCAGGATTAGATAGCTTCATTCAAGAATATCCTAGAGTGCATGTTCGTTATGTCCTTTTTCCAAAGTTAATTGATTAATGCTCATTACTATTCTTATTTTAGAGACATTTTCTTATGTTCCTCTTATTTCTTAAGTTAGATGCATAGTACACGATATCGTATTTTTATATTTTGATGCATAAAATATTTTACATATATTTTGGTACATCTTATATATGTTATTATAAATATCATATCTCATCGATTACAATTGCGATGCTTTTATTATATCAAACGATGTTTTATAAACGATGTATTATATCAAACGTTTTATAATGTTTACAACACCTGTTTGAACATATGAAGTTGAATGTAAATGTGCGGTTAACTAAACAAACACATAAATAAAAAAAATAAGAAGGGAGAGTGTGCGTCACGGCGGGGCCCGACCACGAACCAGTCGTGAAAACTCGTAATTATTTTGCGAAAAAATACCACCTTAGCCAGGAATCGAACCTGGATCTCCTGCTTACTGGGCAGACATCTTTTCCTTTCGACTATCGAGGCATGTGATGATATTTTATCGCAAATAATGTATTTAGAATAATACGTCAACAATACAATGATACACATATATACATATATTACAATATACATATATACATGTATTCTCTCGAATCCCCACGACCGGTACTCCAGAGAGATGATGGTTCTAGTCTCTCGATGGATGCAGATCGGACTGCAGCGGCGACACCCTCCAACGCCATTGGCAAATATACAAATAATCCTCCTGGTGCGCTAGTGCTCCACCGCTTACGCTTGTTCGATCCCATCACTCCTCAATTGCCAACGTCATCGAAGCTACACGGTTTCTTTCGTTGCAAAGTGGAGTCGGAAAAACCAATTATTCCCTCTGAGTGAAGCGCGACGAAGCCGCATTTTTTTTTCAAACAGGCGAAGAAAGAACAATGGGTCCCCCTGCAGGGCGGCAGGAGAGATTGCATCAAGCACGACTCGAGCCCCGTATTTTACTCGGTGATGTCATTTATTTGAATTTTACGAAATGCACACAACGTGCATTTAAATGTGTTTATTTGCCCGTCGGCAATTTAGTGTTAGACCGGATTTTTAAAAACTATTTTTAGCATTAATGATATATATCTCGTTGCGTTACGCGTAACGCATTACGCACTTTACAATGTTTACAATTTGTTATCATATCATTTGTATGTAAGCTTTAAAATGTAAAGAGGATGTAGGCACGTTACACACACATTACACACACGTGTGTATTACTGCAACTAGTTTAAATATTTTATGTATTTTATCTCTAGAGAAGAATTTAATTCTGTGATTTCCATATTTATCAGTTTTTATAAATATAACTACAGAAAGAATTACAGAAGGAGATTGTTACACTTACAGAATATCTTACTTCTATCATATCATATTTTAATGACAGACAGTTTGTCGCTAGCAGGAACTAGTAACGAAGGCTGCCGCTTGCAAGTGTCTCGTGCAAAGTTCAATATAACTTTGCATAATTTCCGCCGACCGGAACTCCATTTTTCACGATGAAATTCCAACGAGTTTCCTCGAGCGACGCGCGAGTAACCGACGAATAATTGAAATAGCTCTCTCTCCTCGAGTAGGGAAATCGGTCGTCTCTTGCATGAAAATTCCCGAAAGTCCATGAATTTTGTATTCGACGCGACATCATTCTTTCATTTTTCATTAAGATTAAATTGTTACGCTTAAGCCGATGGCTTTCTCTTTACCTCTCTTCATTTTTCTCGCTCGCCGCATTTCGGCATTAACAATAATAAGGCTAGAGTCTCTGCTGCGGCTGCTATGGAGCGTTATCGATTCGAGTACTCGACGATACGACGTTAATCGCTTTCATCGTGCGAAATTCATCTCATCCCGACGTACGTGGCTATTCGCGGAATTCTCGATATCGCCGGTGAATATTTAGCTCGCGAGATATCATCAATCAATTCCAATGTCGCACCGCGGTAGCGAAGTGTTTCCTGACGTATCTTCATCCCCCGTAATACCGTAGCGTAGAGTTTGGTCCTGTAACTTATGTTCCGTGACGAGGGCGGTTCGTGAATTTATCGCTCTAATACGCGACGACCATACGTGACGTTGTGACGTGCGGAAATAACTTACCCCGCGACCACGGGAGTAATATCTCGCATATAATCGGGACGTTATTAACGCATAATCGCTCGCTGCTCCTGTCCACGGAAAATGTGATCAAGAGGTCGCATTTTACGATGTCGTTGTTGGTCATAATACACCGTGACGTCCATTCTCTAATCAAAGTATTGAATTTTTTCCGATGCTACTTGTTATGAAAAATATGCGATACAAACTGCTTTTTCTTCATTGTCGTATTTTGCATTCTGCTAAAAGCTTCCACTACTATATATTTCGACGCTGTGATATTTATTCTGACATATCCTGATATCCCATTTCCATGCAGAAATTTTACTCGCGCTATCATGATAATCCGATAAATAACGCTAAGCAATTCCCATGTGTTCATTAACGCTGCAGTGTGACATGTAACCGGAGTTGTGTAATTATTCATAAACGGCTGGCATATTACGCTCGACATTGCGTATTTCTAATTTAAATGTTCGTTAAACGCAACAATGCAGTTTACATCAACAATGTCGGTAGAGAAGACAGTAAAATGCGACAATTCATATTCTTGGATTTTTAAAAATCACATTCGATCGATTTTTCGCAGCATGTGAATTTTTCATGATTTTTAAAAATATCACTAGCATTGTTGCAAATACATTAATAATTTATGTGCAAAAAAAAACATAGCAAGATATATTTGTAATTTTACTTGACATTGTCTATTTAATATTACCAGTGCTGAAGTGGATAAACTTTTGTTTGTGATCTCTTCATTTTGTTCATTTCACATCTTTCATTTACGGAATAGGAGCTCTTGGAGCTATCTCTCTTAGATCTTCACGAATACGAACGCAATCATCCCGCTAGCGAAAACGATGGGTTGCCCCCACCTGCTGTGACTAAAGCAGATAGCCTATCGTTTAGTATTGAAGATAGGCACCATTATATATTAGAGATACCCATAAGTAATGTTATTTTTTGATATGCAAAATTTTATTTAACATTTAGTACAGATTAATCTACAAAATAATCTCCATCATGATAATCTTTTTCCATCTTTCTGGCAAATTTGAAAATTTTGATTATCTTCTTGTAAAATAAGGATGATTGAGCAAAATAGATTTGGTCCAGATTTTAGTCTATCGGAAAGATCGAAATCATTATTTTTAAATTTTTTAAAAATAACGCTGGCATACTCTGACATTCAAGGCACTAGAGTAAAGTGGAATTAACGGCATTGAAACTCGTAAAGCATTAAATGTGCATGTTATTCATACTTGGGCCTTCCATTCTTAACGATACACTCAAATTCTTTCAAAATTTTACGATAAGTACACTAAATGTCAATAAATTTAATTATTAAGATTATGTAATAATAAATCACGTTCACGAACAAGATGATAATGTTTACTCAATCTGAAAAAAACAACATTACTTATGGGTACCTTCGATAAATCACCAAGAAATTTAAATAATTATTTCGGAAGCGTTGAGCGAAATATTTCAAGGTTATATCATATTTATTAAAAGTCTATTATTTTTTATTAAAAAATCCATCAATCTGATTGATGGACTATCAAATTGATTTATTATTTTTCAAACAACAATTTTCATAGGAAACATATGTTCAGATTAATAGTAAATATTTACGAATTTGTGTCCCTTCGTTCAGGAAAATAACAATTTAACAATCTATAAAGAACGTCCTAAACGAATGCATTGCATAAAAGAAGAAGAGAAGCTTCTCACGGATAAATTTAATTAAAGCACTCAAAGAACGGCAGTCACGAATAAAAGCTGACGGGTAGATTCGACTGATTTTAAGATTTAAGAGTAATTTTATGAATTCTCTTTACTTTGCAAAGTCTCCAAAGAAGATCAGCAATCGTGTTAATCAGGGGACTTAAATCTCTCGTTATGAATGTTCGGATTGAAGTCTTGCTATTTTGCTTCATTATTTCGACCCACATTATTTTTTTAATACTTCTTCTTTATCATTGTATTTTTGATTCTTCTTTTCCCTTTTGAAAAGAGACTAGCATTCATGCAATTACTCACTTGTGGCGTAGTTGTTGCTAAGTCTCTCTCCGCACCTTTATAAAAGATACATGAGCTTTCACTCCGTCCATGGTCCTCTTTCTTCGAGTTTTCTCATTTTGCCATTTCCTTCCTGACTCATCGTCTTGTAGGACATGATTTTTATTTTTTATTTATCTAAAGCGTCTAAACTCCTCTCTTGCTGTCGATCAATTTCTTCTTTCCGTAATCTGGCACTGCGACGAATGATATTTTTCTATCTTGTGTAAGTACATTTATTTACAAATGTGCTGATTTAATTTTTGATTCTTTAAACCAGACATTTATTAGAGTGCTCAATCTGCCGAAATTGACGGCAAATAGCGACGTTGCACAATCTGTACAGACAGATTTTTCAAAAGACAACGTGCCAATTTTTCTTCTTCAAGTCACTGCACAAACACGCTTCGTTAGGAATTTCGGAAACACGGATCTAACCGGTGACAACGAACGACGACGGGTAAATAAGATGTATTTTTTTCTTCCACGAATCTCGATTTCTCGAATATTGAATAACCATCAGAATGGAATGACAGCCAAAGGCATATGTGGTCGCGTTTTCGATCAGCCATGATCAGTTCGATCCAATTTCC